TGGAACCTGGTGTGCTGTGGCCAGCCGCATGTCAGGTCAGGTAGACTGTGCTGGCTAACGAACCATGGAGACCTCCTTCTGGTGACCATGGGTTGAGGGGGGTTGGGCCTACAAAAGGAGGGGGCACATAAACTAATGAGTGTAGGAGGAAGGGAAGTGGGCACCCATGACTTATCAGCCTACTGATGGAGCCTGCACAGGACTGCTGGGCACTGCCCTACTCAACCGCCTACAGCCAACTCCCGGGGCCCTACTACGGGCCCATTATGTGCTTGAGACGATGTTAGACCTTGAAATATGTCACTGATAAAGGTAGACAAGACCCACTCAGATCTGCCTCTTCTGTGAAATATTTTCGGTATCCTCAGACCACAGGAATGTGAAAAGTAAAAAAAAACAGCTAACACTTATGAGATGCTTGCTATGTGTCAAACACTGTTCTAACTACTTTATATGTATTATTTCCTTTCATTTGGGTCCCCATAAAAGTCCTCTGTGATGGGTACTATTATTAGCCCCATTTAAGAGAAAAGCTGAGTCACCATGACTAAGTAATTCTTCCCAAGATCACATAACTATTAAATGGTGGAGTCAGGCCTTGAACCCTGGCAGTCTACAATCCTATCCTATCTTCTCTGGTGGTTCTCTGTGCTCTGGGTGCTTACAGTGACTGCAGCACTTGGTCACCGTTCCCGGGGCATATCACTGTCTCACCAACTACGCTGCAAGTCCCTCCCTCCTGGGACCAAAGCATAAATGGGTCTCTCCCCTCCCTAGACCTCTGGATGTCAGGACATTCAATGACTATGTGACTATAATTCCCTTTAGAGCAACTCTAGGGATGTGTATAAATCCTCAAGCCTCCTCAAAATGCTAGATTTCCCAACTGAGGTGCCGACGGAAGAGGAGAAAGGAGGTTCCTAGGCAGAATTTTTTTTAATTGACAATATTATAAAGAACTCAGTCGTTTAAAAATTAAACATGTCCCATAAATCAGATCTTTCTGAATGCTGCCTCTTACCAAAATGAAAAATGCTCTAACAGGCGGCCGTTCTCGCAGTAGACATGTGACTATGTCTGCATACACAAACAGCGCACAGCCATGGGATCTCAAATCTGGAAAGTGCCATTCCCCGCCACTCCACAACAAGCAGATACATTCTGTATGACTGATGCATATATAGATCATAAGTGGTAATAGAGAAGTTATAAAAACAGGTAACTTATAACAAATATACATGGAAGGAAGGAAGGAAGGGAGGGAGGGAGGGAGGGAGGGAGGGAGGAAATTGCAATGTACAGACTGACCAACACATGAAGTTTGCATGAATGAATGGAGCTTTGGCTGCCATTATTTTTGAAAACGGTGCCCTGGGGAATACTGATCTGGTGCATGATTTTTGTTTGTTTGTTTGTTTGTTCAGTTTACATTGAACTTTTTCACTAACTAGTTGCATGACCTTGGGCAATTCACCTTTTCGGGCCTCTTTCAGCTATCTGGGCCTTAAATAATAGTATACAGCTGGCACGTGTGTGCAATGCACGCGATGATCCCAGCCTCACTATTTTACAGGATAAAGCAGTAGAGATTAAGAGCATGGGCTCCAGTTGCGTGGCTTCTCTGTTTCTTATTAGCAGTGTAACACTGAGTCAGTTACTCATCTCTTCCACGCCTCAGTTTTCTCAGATGTAAAGTGTGGATAACGGTTCTACAACACAAAGTTGCTGTGAAGGTGAAATAAGCTAATACATGTAATGTATTCATGCCAGTGGTGGATCTAGGTGCTCAATACCTGTTCGCTATTATAACATTTGACACAAAAAGCAAAGCCAGTGATAATATGTCCAGTGTCCCATCACTGTAGGGGATCACTGTGGCCTGAAGATGCAGGAATGCTACTAACTAACCTATGAGCCTGCAAGGACAATAGCGTCTTTTCTGGTTGACGTTAGGCATACGCTTCTCTAGCCCAAGGCTACCTTTGCTTCTGCACCTGGAGATGCCAATGCTTCCCTTTGGTGAGTTCCTCAGAGGTTCTAGCACGGTGCCAAGGAGATTCCAAGAGATTAAGTGACTTCCCAAGAAAGAGAAGGTGGCAGAGCTAAGACCTCGGACACCCAGGCTGTGTTTCTGAAATATAAATACTTAGCTGATCCTTAAGAGACACAAATATTTATATTTTGGAGACAATCCCACTTTCACAGATCCCTTAGAAGATTAATTCTAATTTTATAGGCATTAAGAAGCAAGGGTTACTATATCAGCTCTGGGGGCCTGTCCCCCCAAAAGACTAGAGCCCACAGCGAGCTGGGATTTCCGGAGGGAACGTTTCTCCAAAGCTTTTCCCCCAGTTTCCTCCAGGATGACAGAAGACAACTCAGAAGTGGGGGGTGGCCTGCTCAGCGGCGAATGTCTCTGCATTGCTTTGCCTGTCCATCATCCATTCCTCCTTCTCATAACAACTCCCAGATTTTCCTTGGAGGACAATTTCCCCTACCTCCCCCTTTGCTCTTGGTCTCTGTGCTTTGGGTAGAACTAACTATAGCCGCCCTCCCCCCACCCCCACCCAGTTCCAAAGGTGGGTCACACGAATAGCATTTTTCACATGCATATGAAGCGGGAATCACAGTACAGTGGGAGGAAGGTTTATAATAGGGGTAGGTACGGAAACACAGAGAGGGAACACATTGTCTTATCACAAGGGAGTCCTAAAAGGGTACACAAAGGAGAAATGACATGGTCAAGAATTTGAAGGATGCTTTCATGCTGAGTTTGGTCCAGAAGGGAGGAGAGTCATAGTTTATGCAAAGTCATAGATGGATGAAACAGTAGATAACGGTGAATAGTTAAAAGTATCTGAAGTGTAGGATGAGTCATAGATGACTCACCCAGGTGCTTCATGTAATTTGGCAAAACCCCAAGACATTACTGACCAGCTGGCAGACAGCAAAGGGATTCATACACAGTTTAGGAGCCGGCTGCCACCAAAACATAAGATGACTGCGCGTTGGTATAAGGCAGACGAGCTACATACTTTGCTGAGCTCAGTTCACGGTTAAAGCGAGTCTCTGTGTTGAAAATTATTCAGAATTTCAGTGTGGTGACAGCAGGGCATTAAACCAGGTACGGCATGGGACCCTTTAGGGTAGAGAGTCCTATGCAACTGTATAGTCTGCATGCCCAGGAAGCTGGCCCTGACATAGGGTCAGGAAGGGACCTGCCTCTGATTCATGATGTGGCCTGGACCTAATTTCCACCAACATTTTAGTCATTGCAAAGCCAGCCTCCCACCTACGTGATGCAAACAGGAGAATCAGGACAAGGTTAGCCCAGACTGAGGATTCTGACATTTTGTTGCTGGGCTGATTTTCCTCCTCTTCCCATAAGCTGGGATACACCGACAGATACTTCTCTTGTCCTTGATTAACCTCTCCTCCCTTCCTCCAGTCCCCGAAGCTGGCCCCAGGAGCACTGTGGGCAGGTGTGTTTATCAAGTCACATGGCTAGGCACCTAGACATCCAGGTAGAGGGAAGGCAGCTTTTCAGAGGACAGAAAAGGAAGGGACAGAGGCCAGCTGGGACTGGAGTCAGCTCTTAGGCGCACATGAGATAGAAAGTCTCAGACTGCATCCAACGACAAAACTATTCATACATAGAAATGTTCATAGTCTTCCCTCTTTGCCTCCCACTAAAGAGAGTTCTGCTTTTGCCTCTTCCGTTTCCCCTTCCTCCACCCTCTCTGGATATTTCTGTCCTTGCAGTCAATTCTTGGCTTCTGAGATACAGAACGAGAATAATCGACAGAGAGAGACAAAGCTTCTAGTGAGTGTAGAGAAAAGGGCTTTCCATCGGAAGGACCTAAAACAGATATAAGACAGCAAAGGAAAGTGAGAGAGAATGGGATGGGGGGGGGGCGGCAGGAGGGGGGAGGCAGGGGCGGGGGAGAGAAGCCAAGAAGACCCAGTTTTAAAGAAGTTTGTGAGTAGGAATTGAGAATAAGGTTCTGAGAGAGACTTGGGTAAATCATGAAATCTAAGAAATACCAGAAGACCAGAGAAAGGGAATATTGTAAAGTATTGAGTGCTATGATTTGAATTTCATTTGGTGGAAATAATATTACTTGAGAGAAAGCATTAAAGACTGAAATTGTGTGTAATTATTTTTATCTAATGTTGAGTTGGGCCATGTGGGATCCGAGTCACACTTGAGCTATATTGGTATTTTATGAGATGTTAATAGGTATTATATATACACACAGAGACATACACACACATATATACCAGATGGTTCCATGGGCAAAGAAAACTGTGAAATGCTATATCCTAAATCCTCAACTAGAGGATCATATTAGCATATTAAAGGCCCTGAGAAGTCTTGCAGCCCAGAAATTCCTTCAAAGCTGTTTAATCCAATACTTCCTACACTTATTTTACCACATGTCATATAATGTATTTTATTATTTTGAAAAAAATTAAAATAATATAATTTTAATAAGGCTGACCTTAAGCTCTCCTGTCCCAAGAATTTAGGGAAGGCTTCACAGATAAAGTATGATATTTTAACTGGCTTTTGAGCCCTGGCCAGGTAGCTCAGTTGGTTAGAGCATCGTCTCAATATGCCTGGGTTGCAGGCTTGAACTCCAGTCAGGGCACATACAAGAGTCAACCAATGAATGCATAAATAAGTGGGACAGCACATCGATGTTTCTCTCTCAAATCAATAATAAGTAAAAAATTACATTAAATCATTGGTATTTGAAAAATGGAGACGGTGGGGGAGTAGCCAGGTCAGCATATAAAGAGGCATGAGGAACAAAAAAATTAAGAAACACACCAAGTTCAAGATTGGTGAGGAGTTTCCCAGGGATTAAAAGTAGAAAGAGAAGAGCTGGGACACTTTGACTTCCTTTCACCAGGGAGACAGTATCCTGCCTGATCTCCACCAGCGTCCTTCAGAGTGACCACGGGTGCTGGGGCTGCGAGGAGGCCGGGTGGCTCACCTGTTCTGAACCATGCTCATGGCCATCCAGTCTGAAGGATACACGTTCTTCCCAATGAGGTCCTTGAACATGATGAATGTCTCCATCAAGAAGTCCTGAAATAATAATAATAAAAAAAATCACATCTGTCATCTTGTTTTGTAGGGACAGACTCAAAGCGCCCAGGTCTTGCTGGCTGTTGATATTTTTTCTTTAGAATCGTTGGTGGGGCAGAAAGGGAAAGGGCGTAACCTTCCATTAGGTAAATCCAATGAAGCCCACCCCACAGCAGTGGGTTTTTAAATGGGAGCTTGAAGTCGGTTACCAAGAGTCTGTTTCACAAATACAAGTGGAACAGGAACACGAAATGTGATAATGCTCTCAAAACAAAGCACCATTAATTCTGTCTCTGGGAGTAAAGACATAAGTGCCTTCACTGCTGTGGCAATTTTATAATCATCTTCCCAAATATGTATCTGAGAAGGAAATGATCTACACTCTATGAAAGCATCGCAGGCCATTGAGCAAACAAACTATTATTAAAATGAACACTGAATTAGCAGCACTGTAAACACAGCTAATTCATGTGTCACAGACACGAGCCCAGGCGATTAGGGGAAGAGGGGCAGGGACCTCTTCCTCTCCTTCACAGAGGTTCCGAGCGGACCGCAGCACACCCCACTGGGTTATGCAGTTGACCAGACTTGCTCTCCATCTGTGGGGAACACAAGTGCAAGGCAAATGCAAGGAGTGGGGATCAGGGCCACCGCCGGGGCGGGGGGGGGGCCTCTGATCTGCAGGGAGGAAGTCATGCAGCCTTCACCTGTGCGCTTCAGGTAAGATCTCAGACCCTGGGACACCCGGCCGGAGCTTTCCTTGCGCCAGTGGTTTTCATACAATTTTAACAGCAGAATTCTTTGTTCAGAGAAAATCTTACCTGGAACCTGATATATAAACTAGATAAAAGTAGAAGAGCTGTGGTTGCAGTGTGTGTGTGTGTGTGTGTGTGTGTATGGGAGAGGTAGTGAGGCTGGGAGGAATATAATTCGAAAATCACTGCTTCATAGTAAATTGCAAAATTCTGGAAATAAGATTGGTTCCTTTCCAGCAATCTTTGCTTCTAGGGGAAATTACCACAGTGCATTAAGCCCCAGATTCGGCCTCAGCAGCGTGGGGACAGCATTCGCCCAGAGCGTCCCCGTGACAATGGCGTGAGCACCAGAAGATGCTTTGCATAGAGCCTGGCCCTGGGTAAGTGCTGTTCACTAAGTGCCCAATGATGATAATGATGATGCGAGCATTGCTATTCATCCTGATGTCACCTGAGTAGGTGTGGCTACCCTCACCGACACACCCCCTCCCTGTGGGAATGGAGAAGGCCTGGAAAAGTGAGCAGTGACACCTACGTCATGCTGTCGTGAGGGTTATATAAGAAAGTGTGTGTGTTTAGTAAGTAACTCCCTTTCCCACCTTCCTTCCCATCTTTCCTTCCATTTGGGGGTCAAAAATTATGAATCTGGTCTTTTTATTTTCATGTCCCAAGACAGAGAACTTGAGGGAGGGGAAAACTTATGTGTTTAAGCTTTACTTTTGTTTTATATCCAGAAGGAGGTTCCATTTCTTGCCCATCCTCCTCCAATAAGGAGAATCTCTCCCCCAGATAAATGAAAGGGCAGCAATTAGCTTCCTACTGATTCCCTTTCTATGGGGCATTCTCTGAGGCTTGTCCAATGCTGGTGCCTTTGGTCTCTCCAAGGAGAGTAGAAAGTGAGCCCCCAGGGCAGAACCCCTGAATATGGCCGTAGGGAGGTGATGGCAAAGGTGACCATGCTGAGGGCGAAGGGCCTGCTGTGCCCTGGGACAGCCGGGCTGGGCTCTGTGTTGATGAAGTCATCCTGTAGCCAGTGAGTGCAGAGACCAGAAGAAGAGAGCGGTTCAGAGGCCACCTTCCTCCATGCGTTTATTATCATAATGTCATATTCACTGTCTGTTCCTGAGCACTTAGCATCTCAGAGCTGCTGTGTTCTCATTGAACCCGCTTCCAACCCTGTGACATAAATGATATTATCTCCACTTTACAGATGGGGAGACTAAAGCCGAAGAGAGGTTAACCCGCCCATGGTCACACAGCTAACTGGGACAAATCTGGGTTCAAGCCCAGGACCATGCGACTCAAACATGCATGCCCGTAAGCCCCCGAATTCATTAACAAATGTTTGTTGATGAATCATGACTTGACATTCAGGTCTCATCTCTGACGTGGGCATGTTCCAGAAGATGTGTACCAGCCTGAAGGGGAGTGAGAATAGCAAACCACGCAGTCCCATTTGTAAACTTGGACACACACTTCCTCAAGGTCCACAGTGGAGCCCTCCTTGCCCCAAACTCCTGAGAACCGAGTGGGACACGTCTCCCTCACACCGCCCGCCCTGCCCCCAGCATCCTATAGACTCACCACGAGCTCGGAGCTGGACTGGAAGGTCTCAATGTAAAAGGAGTAGTGCTGGTCGCCCATCTGGTGTAAGATCGCTGTCATACACGCCACAAAGTGACTCTGCAAGAAACAAAGAAAAGTGTCGTGAAATAATGGCGAGGAGACCGCGAGGTTCACCTTCATTTCTTTGACTTCAGATACCCCAACTATCCCAGGCAAGTATAAAAATGCCCCCCAGGGCCCAGCCAGTTTGGCTCAGTGGTTTGAGCGTCAGCCTGAGGACTGAAGAGTCCCGGGTTTGATTCCAGTCAAGGGCACATGCCCAGGTTGTGGGCTCAGTCCCCAGTGGGGGGTGTGCAGGAGGCAGCCGATCAATGATTCTTTCTCATGGATGTTTCTATCTCTCTCTCCCTCTCCCTTCCTCTCTGAAATCAATAAAAATAATTTTTTTTAAAAAATGCCCCCTAGGGATGAAGAACATATCCTCACCAGATCATCATATGAAATTCTCTGTGAGGAAATGTCTCTTTATGGCTCATTCATCAGCTCATTTACTGAGCACCTAGTATGTGCCTGGGACTAGAATAGGAGCTCCAGATAGAATACAAGGCCCAATCTTTACCTCTCCAGCTGCTTGGGCATTGGGGACAGAGCACTTTATTGGTGTCAGGAGATCTAGCCCATATCAAGATCCTAGAGACAGTTTGATTTTCTTGTAAATAATTGCACATGTCTAAGCCCCATTTTTTTACCTGTAAAGTGGGATAATAATCCACCTATGTCTACCCCGAGAGGTGCACAGAAGAACCAAATGGCCGATAGCACCTCGAATGCCCTGCAGTTCTCCATGGACCACCATGAGCGAGCCTCTGGGAGGCCAGCAGGCATCAGGACCAGCACTTGTCAAGGGCCATGGAGGATGAAAGAAATGAGAAGACGTAGTCCTTGTTCCCCAGGAGCTTGTGAACAAGTTGGGAAAGTAAGAGTAACATCCATGAGGGGACGAGTACAAGACCCTCGATCAGGAAGCAAACCCTGCAGCAGAGGGATCCAGACAAGAGGGAGCCCACGCAAGGACTGGAGACCAGGTGGGTCTGGAAGGACCTGCGGGCTCCGAGGAGTGAGAGGCATATCCTTTCAGGCAGCAGAGTCCATGTCTCACCCTTTCCTGTTTTTCCCTCCCAGATCCTACGAGTCTGTATCACGGTGTGCATCCTGCTAGGTCTCATGTCTGTAGGCAGCATTAGGGAGATCTGCTCTGGAATCATGGGAAAGGAAGTACTGTCCACAAACCCACTGTGGGGTTGGCCACTGGAGACTACCTCCTGCGAGGTTCCAGTGGGACTGCTCTCTGAGCCACAGAAGCCCCATGAGGCGCGGGCAAGAACAAGGCTGCGGAAGGTGGTCAGCTTGGGGAGGCATGGATGTCTCCAGGGAGCCCCACTGTTAAAGGGTATCCCACACCAGAGGGGTGGGCCTGGAGGTACCATGCTTGAACCAGGAAAGCGGGTCTGGTATCACAAATTCTGTCTTAGTTAAAACAACAAAAACAAAAAATCACACAAACACACCTCAAAACAAAAAGACTCTCAACTTCTTCCTTTGTTGAAAATATATAAAAAATATGAAGTAAAAATGTCCTCCCAGATATCTGATGTGCAGTGTAGTTGGTGGTGGAAGAATAGCCCCGACATCCCAGGAAGCGCCTTCCATGTCCCTCCACAGGAAGTCTTTTGGGAATCGAATGTCCCTCAAGTTCACATTCCCCAAAGTAGCTCCCAAAGATGGGGACTCTCATTTGCTTTCAGGTTCTTTCCAACTAGGATGTTGGTGGGGGCGGAGGGGGGCTGGGGGGCGTTGCTTTCCCCATCAGCAAGGCCAGCTATGCAATTAGTGGGGCTCAGAGGATATGAAAATGCAGAGTCCTTGTTAAAAATTATTCAGAATTTCAATACAACCACAGGGCCCTCCGAGCACCAGGCCAGGTCTGCTAGTGACCACACACACACACACACACACACACACACACACACACACACGCTCAGAAAGCATGCAAGCTGCAGACAGCTCAAGGCTGGACTCTCAGGGGCAGCAGTGTGGACGCCGTGTCTGGTGATGGGGACCCCAGCCTCTGCCCCAGGCGACCGCCTTGGCCATCCAGGCCGCCTTGGTGAGCCTCTCTCCAGCTCAGGCCCCCAGGGATGGGGTGAGTTTGTGCCATTGTCAGTCCCTTTCAAACCAGACAGAGCACCATCACTGCTAACTTAACCAGGTCCCACTTAAACCAGGACGCGGGCTTTATTACTGTGCATCTCTCTGGACAGGCTGCATGCAGGAAAGGAGGAATCTTAGAGTTTGGGAGGTGGAGTGTGTGTGTGTGTGTGTGTGTGTGTGTGTGAGAGAGAGAGGGGCGGGGGAGGGAGAGAGCACACACACTATTTCCTACTCCCTCCAATCTCCTGTCTCCCTTCCTCAAAGAATTCAGCCTGTGGCCACTAGAGGTCTTTTCTTTCACATGGTAGCAGCCCAGCAGTTTGTTCGGCTTTTTATTTATTCCTACGTGAGCAGACCCACTACACTTCTTGCATCTAAACAGTGGAAATTACAACATGAAGGACTTATTATTCCTTCTCGTGGAGTAAGTCCGCTGCTGGCCAGAGCCTGGCTCGCTGTGCAAGGCGCGGGAGGACCTCCCCTGCAGGTAACCACTGCTTCAAGGTAAGAGGCTGGCCAGGCTTTCTCTTCTGTGATGGATGATCCCGTGAGAGAAAATGCATGTCTCTTGGACAATAGTTTACTTTTAAAGCTTTGGCGTAAAGGAGCCCTGGGGCTGGGCGCTGTGTGTGTGTGTGTGTGTGTGTGTGTGTGTGTGGTGGGAAATCCACCATTGTGAGAGCCGCAGGCTGCCCTGAATGCACAGGCACGGGAATGCTTGTCATTCCCAAAGGCTTGATTTGAATGTGAAGGGGGCAAAAAAGGCGAAAAACAAACCTCCGCGCTCAAGTTCACTGGCATTACCTTGAAAGGGCTGCATTGTCTGAAGCCTTGTTTAGAGAAACTTCCATGCTTCCTTTTAGAAAAACATCGAGAGGGGGAGGGGGACAGGTCCCCACCGAGAGAGTGGCCGGCTCATGAAAGAAACCATTATCTTTGTGTAAGGACCGGCTCGGGGTGATCCAGCTCGCCCACCCGTCAGCATTACTTTTGCCAGCGTGCCCCTTCCTTCGTTGTAACGGCCACGGAGAAACGCCGGCTGAGTGCCTCTCAGTGGTGCGGGAGACTGAAGTTTGGACAAGTTACCTGCATTTGGCTGTTAGTGAGAAATGACAGCGTTTCACTTCCGACGGGGAGCGCCCCTGTTTCTACCACGGTGTCCAGCCCACCTTAGAGCCACACCTGTCAGACATCCCACCGGGGTGACTGACTGATCCGTGAAATGGCTGGAGACGCCAGCCGCAGGTTCATATTTTGAAAGGGCTCCTCCAGTCATTTAAATTAAAAAAACAACAAAATCAAAAACAGAAAACCTCTGTCTTGCAGACAGAATGATGGTTTCGCACTAGGCTTCTCTGCCACGTCCCCCAGATCAGCAGTGTCGTGGGCATGGAAATCCACCTTTTTGCTTCCTGCCCGCTTCCCTTCTTACAAGTTTGAGATCCCCTGCATCCACCATGTTTTAAATGTTTAGAAAGAGAGAGGGGAATTGGGGGTGGGGGTGATGGTCAGACTGCATCTGCCTCGGCAACTCAGATACTCCTGCCATTGGCACAGCTCAAACTTTATAGTGTAGCAGCCCACACCCCCAGCCCTGCCAGCAGCCTTTGAGGGCTGCGTGGGGAGCAGGGGGTGGAGGGGTCCCCTGCAGTCCAGGCTGGTGAGGACCGCCTCTTCCCAGCCCTGGCCGAGATGCTGTAGTGGACATAGATTTACTACCAAGGCATGAGGCAGCCACTCATCCATACCCAAGCAGCATGCCAGGCGCCCGGATGGGAAATTGCTTCCCAAAACGGAATACCAGGGGGACCTGCATATCAAATTCCGGAGAGAATTTGTATCCGAGACGCTGGCACAAGCCGGGCAGAGTCACCCCAGCTCCTCTCAGGGCGGTTTAAAACGTAGCTAATGAATCACAGCATGAGGAGACACGGTGTGAAACTAGGTCAAACGTGTAAAAATAAGTGCAATCATCCAGGCACTCGGCTGATGAGGGGCTGCTAAGCCTCTCCAGCCACCCAGACAATCAGCCCTCTTCATTAATTCAGCCCAGCGGTGTGTGGGAGGTCTCGCACACCTGGGAGAGGGCCGAAGCTCCAAAGGCAAACAGTCGGGGTCCCTTCACTGTGCCCAGGCGAGAGGGAAAAAGAAAAACCCAGGATCGTGTGATTAATATTAATTAGCTGGGCTACTAGGTGATTGTGATCAGGAGAGCAGCCCTCCCCAAATCATCCTACTCCTTTGCATAAAAAAATCATCTTCATCACCATCACCATCACCACCACATTGATAGCTTCGGTGCACAACACTCAACCTAACATACCTATTGAACCAGCTCTGATGCAAACACACCTACACACCAGCCAGGACCCCTGTAGCGCCAGGGGAACCAGGAAGAGGCTAAAGGTTCCCCTGGCCTTGAAACACAAACAGAACAGGGGGAGGGGCATGGCTGCTGCCAATGTGTCCCCCACTCACCTGAGATCAGGGGGAGTGATGAGATCGCAGAGGGAGGAAAACAGCCAACTTCGGGAGCTTGCTACCTAAAATGCCAACATTACTATGCGATACCAGCTGGTGACACGTTGCTATAGTAACTTCAAATAATGTGCACGACCAAAATAAAATAAAATAAAATAGAGAGAGCACCCAGGAAAGGAGACGAAGGAAAGTTTGCACGCCCAGGGAGGCTCGCAGGGAGAGGAGACGTTCTAGCTACTGGACCATCGATTTCCGTTGGAGACTAACAGTGGCCGAGTGACACTTTGAGGTTGCTTCTCCATTTACCCCTGCGACTGCCATGTGGTTATATAACGGATTTTATTCTTGGATGGAATTGGTGCTGGCTGTATGGCGGATCCAGGACCGAAGGTGGGAGGCTGTGGTGTCAGGAAAAACAGGGCGTC